GTGGAATGACCTTCCTAACACTACCAGAACAGGAGCTTCCTTTTCAATTTTCAAGAAACTCCTGAAGACCCTGCTCTTCAGAGAGCATCTTCTAAACTAGCACCCTCCCTGCACCCCCCCCCCCCCCCCTCTACCGTCCACTCCTTGTTCCCTCCTCTCCATGACTGATGTTAAGTAGTTGTTGTTATTGTTGTTGTTAGCCTCAAGGGCAACATGCCGATTATCACTTGTAAGTCGCTTTGGACGAAAGCGTCTGCTAAATACATAAACATAAACTCTCTCTCACTCACTCACTCACTCACTCACTCACTCACTCACCTGGTGCTTTGATTTAGGGTTGTTGGTTTGTTAGCGCGCTCCAGTTTGACAGCTACTGCTTTTTCCATGGTTTATGCTAGATTTCAAGTGGAAACGGGTGATTGTCAACACAGGACAGTCTCGGTTTAACTTTAGGCTCGTTGTCACAGGCTTGCACTAAAATGCATCAACTTAACCTGATGGGTACCTTTGGCCTTTTCTCTCTCAGGGTGTTTCCTGGCTCAGACCGAGGCAGAGGCGGTACCATCCTGACCGTGCGCCAGCACATGCGTACTCTGTGCATTCAACTGCTTCACTTTTTAAAGGCCACATATGTTGTCGTTAGGTGTTCTAATCTAAGCTTCTGTAGATTAATAGAATATTCCATTTGACGTTTCAAGTGAAACTAAACTGGTTTGCTACTAAAAATATGAAATAAAACAAAATTATCAGGTGGAAATAACGGACTCTTATTATGAAAGGCTCAATAATATGCATTAGATTGGTGTTTAGTTCCTTTTTCCATCTGATATTTATAGTTAAAATGTTTTTAAACATGTGACCTTCATTTCAGTAACATGTTAGGTTTGTATTAATAACACTCATCTTAGTCACAATAACACATAAATGTATGCAGTAAAATATAATGTATTTCATTAACATGCATTTGTGTTGGAAATGCTAATAACATGTCATTTCTGCTGCTAACAGTGTAACGGTGGCATGTCTGTTATGTACGGGTTGGCAATAATCCAGTTTAAATTATGTTCAAAGATAGAAGCGTTTGTGAATTAGATACCAAACGGCTTGCCGTAGCCTTGTAGCAGTAATGTGACCCGTATCTGCAGCGGTTCTGGTCCGTAGCGCTGCAGGATGCAGAACAAACAGGATGGTGGGGACTTTTCATCAGCATGTACAGTTGAGTCTTTCTCAGTTTTACATCATCATATATTTTTCTGTGCGCCACTTGATCGTGAGACTGCTACCGTTAGCTTTAGCATTAGCCAATCTGCGTGTAGCTGCACTTTTCATCCCAAACTTTGGACCGGTTCTGCCTTTGTGCCTTTGCTGGTTCCTTTATTTTCCTCCACTGCATCCAGATTTCCACACTGTTCACCAGTAAAAATCATTTTTCTTACTTTTGTTCAATACAGTTCTGGGGAAAATAGTAATTCAAAGATGTTGCACCAGTGCTACGTTTAAAAAATAGACTCACACGCACCGACAGTGTTTTACGTCGCGCTGTACAGCCCTGCTCTGATGTGAAGCTGTTTGATCTTTTTCTGCAGCAGTTTTAGCGCTTTTCGGTGCACCGCTGCTGATACAGCGCCCCTATAGTGGTGCAACGCTGCAACTGCAGTTATAATAACATCCATATCGCTGGGGGCAGAGTGAAATAAGAGTGAAGCAAATACAAGCTATACATACATTATGTCATATGCTGTAGACCAGTGGTTCCCAACCTTTTTCCCAAGGGACCCGGTTTTTACCAGTAAAATATTTGACGACCCCCTCCCATTCTCTCTTCCAGTACAAACATTATTAAGAAATGATAAAATTGTTCAAGCACATTTTAATATGCTTTGATTCAATAGATAACAGTAACAGTAGGCTCCAGTACAGAACAAAGTCATTAACCAAACCAAACAGAGCATAATGTGCTTGACAGTTTGTATTCCTTTTCTGAACACATCGTTTCTTGTAAACACTGATAAATCAATCATTCCTTTCAATAAACGTTTGACACATAAAAAATACACTGAGCAAAATGTACTTAAATGTGTGTATTACTGTTTATACTAGATTATTTACTGTAAAGGCTGTGATTAATCAACCAGTCCTATCTTTAATGAACTTTTGACACTTGAAAATAAAACAGTGAGCTGAGCAAAATGTTCTTAAGTGTGTTACTTGTTCTGTACTAATTATTTCCTGTCTTAATATCAGTAAAATTTTCACTCATGAAAAAAAAATGTGAGCACAATGTAGGCTATAAACAAGTAATAAATGAAGTTTTAACCCCTTAAAGTGGAGAGGTCCTGGCGACCCACTGAGAGGCTTTGGCGCCCCCTTGTGGGGGTCGGGACCCCCAGGTTAGGAACCACTGCTGTACACCACAGGTGTCAAACTCAGGCCCTCTGGCCAAATTTGGCCCGTCAGATCAAATCTATATTAAAACTGGCCCATTAGCCCATTTGGCCACAAAGACTGCAAGTCCCATAGTGCTTTGCGTCAGTCCAATTATCTGACTTTGAAGCCCAGAAACGGAGATTTTAACCGCTCCGTAGTCTGTTCTCGGCTGACAGACAGCTGCTAAAGTCAGCGACACGCTCCAGTCGGTGTGACTCTGGCTGCTGCAGCTTTAATCTCTCCTCCCCGACACACCGACCCAACGGCGTGGTCCAGATGCTCTCCATGTTCAGCAGCACAAACCTACACGAGCGACTGTTGTCTGTGATGAAGATGAACAGAACAACAGGAGCCTCGCTGATGAACTCCTGATCAGCCCAGAGCCCACCCCACAGATGCAGGTGTGTAGCTGGAACAGGTGAGCAGAGCGGAGCAAGCCGAGCTAGGATTATTGTGGTTTCATGCTCTTTTTCTGCTCCAAAACATGAAAGTCAACAGGTGACATGTTGCATTTTCATTAAAGAGAAAATCGTTTTTTTATTTTTGTTTTCCCGTGAAAAAAGAGTTACCCTGATTTAAAACCGGAACAGGCTACGGACAGATGAATAGAATAGATAGCACAGTAGTAATCTGAGGTTTTACCTTTGGCTGACATGTTTGCCTTCGTCCGAGCCGCCAGCTGCTGGTGGAGTGGAGTCACTTCCATTTACGCAGTTAACCCGTTATCGTCCCTCAGTGGGGAAAGCTGGTGCCACAGCAGCGACGACTCTTTACACGAGTCTAATGGACCATTCCCATCTGTACCGGGTCGGCCCGGGCCGGGTAGCCCCAGTCGGCCCCAGCCTGGCCCGGTTGATTCCACACATCCTCGCCTTAAGCCCATGTGGGCTGATTCTACCCACCAATCAGAGGCTTGCTCTAATGGAAGGTGTGAATTTGCTGTCAGCAGTGGGTGTGTTGGCCCTGGTCGGCCTGAAGCAGACCCCCTCCAGAAGAGGGCTGAGAATGAGCCTTGGTTGGCCCGGAAAAATACCAGGCCACCCAGATATGTAAACAACCTACGCTACCCGGACCGGGCCGACCCGGTACAGATGGGAATGGCCCATTAAAGGAGAGTAAAATATAAGAGTAAACAACCAGAAAACAGAAATGGTTCTAAAATGATGATTATATACACTTTTTAAGGAATAAAAAGAATAAAAAATCATAAGTAATGAATACCACTGATGCATTTTTTTAACATTTACTTGATGGTGTGTAATTTGGTTATTCCACACTCCGCGTTGATGCAAAATAAGTTTGTTTCCAAATGTAAAGGTTCAACGTACACATCTGCAGATAGAGAAATGTGCTCATTTGCATCACTTTTTCAAAAAACGTGATGTTCTGCCCGTGACTTTGGCCCAGTGTGAATTTGAGTTTGATTGTTTTAACATATAAAACACACCAGAAACCACCAGTAGGGCTGCTCAATTAATCGAATTTGAATCACGATTACGATCTGAGTTTTGAACAATTATAAAAACTAAACAAGCCGATTATTTGCTCCTCCCACTTGCGCTGTCCCGAGTTGCAAATGAAGCGCTCCTCCACAGTGTTGCCAACTTGGCGACTTTGACGCTATTTCTAGCAGCTTCTCAGACCCCCTTCTTGACTTTTTAAATCTTAAAAGTACCTAGCGAACACCTCAGAAACATCTCTGGTAACCCTTAGCTACTTTCTGGATAACTATCGTTGACATTTCCTGCAGGTTAGCTAAACACTCCGCCTGCGCTCCGGACCGTTCTTCAGGACATTAGGAAAGGGAATGATGTAGTGATGTGTCAGTCGCTAAAGAAACAGCTCTCGGAGCCGGCTCCATGTTGGATTAACCAAAGTGAGTGACACACACACCGCACCTGCGGACTCCTGAGCCGCTAAAAACGGCTAAATGTGCGCGTGCGGCGTGCTAAACACACGTGCAGCTTGCCCCGATTGCTGTGAGACCGGGTTGGGGGGTAGGGGTGCAGCTGTGGTTGGGACAATTATTACATTAACTGATGGATGATTTGTAAATAAATAGTTTATAAATAAGGTAGAAATAACTTCCTCACGCTGAAGCCCTTGATCATAGACTATGAGCTATAAGTATATTGGTCTTTTTATACTGGGAATCAGGAGTTATTTTAGTGATCACCTTGTTTCTTATTTATTTTTGTCCTGATTGTGCCCTGAGCAATTTTATGACTGAATAAAAACAAATAAAATCAACATGAATTGAAAAATCGTCCTAAATATCGAGATCTCAATTTCAGTCACAACAATCGTGTTTATTGTTTTTGCCATAATCGAGCAGCCCTAACCACCAGCATATCCAACATACACATATAAAGGAGTAAAGGTTGAGAAGACCATTCTGAAGTTGTGGCGGTGGGCCACCATCAACTACATGTAGAGGAAACCCTGAAAAGGTCACTAACCGCTCAGTGGAAGTAGAAAATGGAATTCTGTTAAACAAACCCACAAACTAAAGGACAAAAGTGGATTTTTCATCCTATGCACCTGTGAAAAATGGACCACTTGTGTTTCTGCAGGTGAAAGACCTTTTGCCTGTGACTCAAAAGGTTGTGGCTGGACTTTTACCAGCATGTCCAAGTTACTCCGCCATAAACGGTAAGGCCTGCTTCACCTGTGCTCTTCTACTATAGAGAAAACAAACAATACTTTATTTGAGCTGATTCTAAGTATTCTCTGTTTTGTACATGGATTCAAGACCTTGTGTTTGTTTTCTCAGGAAGCATGATGATGACCGTCGATTTGTCTGTACAGAGGAGGGATGTGGAAAGTCCTTCACCAGGGCCGAGCACCTTAAGGGTCACAGCATTACTCATCTGGGCACCAAGCCCTTCCAGTGCCATGCAGAAGGTATAGTAATCAACATACATACATACATACATACATACCTATCTGTCTGTCTGTCTGTCATCTATCTATCTATCTATGTCTCAATCTCATATATATATATATATATATATATATATATATATATATATATATATGTATATACATATATATATGTATATACATATATATATGTATATACACACATTATGTATATACACATATATATATATGTGTATATACATATATATATGTATATACACATATATATGTATATACACATATATATATATATATATGTGTATATACATATATATATGTGTATATACATATATATATGTATATACACATATATATGTATATACACATATATATGTATATACACATATATATACAGGTGCTGGCCAGTAAATTAGAATATCATCAAAAGGTTGAAAATATTTCAGTAATTCCATTCAAAACGTGAAACTTGTACATTATATTCATGCAATGCACACAGACCAATGTATTTCCAATGTTCATTACGTTTAATTTTGATATTTATAGGTGACAACCAATGAAAACATCAAATCTGGTATCTCAGAAAATTAGAATATTCTAAAGGCCAATGAAAAAATGTTTGTTTCTCTAATGTTGGCCAACTGAAAAGAATGAACATGAAAAGAATGTGCATGTATAGCACTCAATACTTAGTCGGGGCTCCTTTTGCCTCAATAACTGCAGTAATGCGGCGTGGCATGGACTCGATCAGTCTGTGGCACTGCTCAGGTGTTATGAGAGCCCAGGTTGCTCTGATAGTCGTCTTCAGCTCCTCTGCATTGTTGGGTCTAGCGTATTGCATCCTCCGCTTCACAATACCCCATAGATTTTCTATGGGGTTAAGGTCAGGCGAGTTTGCTGGCCAATCAAGGACAGGGATACCATGGTCCTTGAACCAGGTGCTGGTGGTTTTGGCACTGTGTGCAGGTGCCAAGTCCTGTTGAAAGGTGAAGTCTGCATCCCCATAAAGTTGGTCAGCAGCAGGAAGCATGAAGTGCTCTAAAACTTCCTGGTAAACGGCTGCATTGACCCTGGACCTCAGGAAACAGAGTGGGCCAACACCGGCAGATGACATGGCACCCCACACCATCACTGACGGTGGAAACTTTACACTGGACCTCATGCAACGTGGATTCAGTGCTTCTCCGCTCTTCCTCCAGACTCTGGGTCCTTGATTTCCAAAGGAAATGCAGAACTTGCTTTCATCAGAAAACATAACTTTGGACCACTCAGCATCAGTCCAGTCCTTTTTGTCCTTGGCCCAGGCGAGACGCTTCTTGCGCTGTTTCATGTTCAAGAGTGGCTTGACACACGGAATGCGACACCTGAATCCCATGTCTTTCATGAGTCTCCTCGTGGTGGTTCTTGAAGCGCTGACTCCAGCTGCAGTCCACTCTTTGTGGATCTCCCCCACATTTTTGAATGGGTTTGTCGTCACAATTCTCTGCAGGGTGCGGTTATCCCTAGAGCTTGTACACTTTTTTCTACCACATTTTTTCCGTCCCTTCGCCTGTCTGTTAATGTGCTTGGACACAGAGCTCTGCGAACAGCCAGCTTCTTTAGCAATCACCTTTTGTGTCTTGCCCTCCTTGTGCAAGGTGTCAATGATTGTCTTTTGGACAGCTGTTAAGTCAGAAGTCTTCCCCATGATTGTGGTGCCTTCAAAACAAGACTGAGGGACCTTTTAAAGGCCTTTGCAGGTGTTTTGAGTAAATCAGCTGATTAGAGTGGCAGCAGGTGTCTTCTATATTCAGCCTTTTCAGAATATTCTAATTTTTTGAGATACCAAATTTGGAGTTTTCATTAGTTGTCACTTATGAATATCAAATTTAAATGTAATGAACATTGGAAATACATTGGTCTGTGTGCATTGCATGAATATAATGTACAAGTTTCACGTTTTGAATGGAATTACTGAAATATCTTCAACCTTTTGATGATATTCTAATTTACTGGCCAGCACCTGTATATACATATATATGTATATATATACATATACATATATACACATATACATATATATATATATATATATATATATATACATATACAGGGAAGGCAGAATTATTAGGCAAGTTGTATTTTTGAGGAATAATTTTATTATTGAACAACAACCATGTTCTCAATGAACCCAAAAAACTTATTAATATCAAAGCTGAATGTTTTTGGAAGTAGTTTTTAGTTTGTTTGTAGTTGTAGCTTTTTTAGGGGGATACCTGTGTGTGCAGGTGACTATTACTGTGCATAATTATTAGGCAACTTAACAAAAAACAAATATGTACCCATTTCAATTATTTATTTTTACCAGTGAAACCAATATAACATCTCCACATTTCCAAATATACATTTCTGACATTCAAAAACAATACAAAAACAAATCAGCGACCAGTATAGCCGCCTTTCTTTGCAAGGACACTCAAAAGCCTGCCATCCATGGATTCTGTCAGTGTTTTGATCTGTTCACCGTCAACATTGCGTGCAGCAGCAACCACAGCCTCCCAGACACGGTTCAGAGAGGTGTACCGTTTTCCCTCCTAGTAAATCTCACATTTGATGATAGACCACAGGTTCTCAATGAGGTTCAGATCAGGTGAACAAGGAGGCCATGTCATTAGTTTTTCTTCTTTTATACCCTTTCTTGCCAGCCACGCTGTGGAGTACTTGGACGCGTGTGATGGAGCATTGTCCTGCATGAACATCATGTTTTTCTTGAAGGATGCAGACTTCTTCCTGTACCTCTGCTTGAAGAAGGTGTCTTCCAGAAACTGGCAGTAGGACTGGGAGTGGAGCTCGACTCCATCCTCAACCCAAAAAGGCCCCACAAGCTCATCTTTGATGGTACCAGCCCAAACCAGTACTCCACCTCCACCTTGCTGGCGTCTGAGTCGGACTGGAGCTCACTGCCCTTTACCAGTCCAGCCACGGGCCCATCCATCTGGCCCATCAAGACTCACTCTCATTTCATCAGTCCATAAAACCTTAGAAACATCAGTCTGGAGGTATTTCTTGGCCCAGTCTTGACGTTTCAGCTTGTGTGTCTTGTTCAGTGGTGGTCGTCTTTCAGCCTTTCTTACCTTGGCCATGTCTCTTGAGTATTGCACACCTTGTGCTTTTGGGCACTCCAGTGATGTTGCAGCTCTGAAATACGGCCAAACTGGTGGCAAGTGGCATCTTGGCAGCTGCACGCTTAACTTTTCTCACTTCATGGGCAGTTATTTTGCTCCTTGGTTTGTCCACACGCTTCTTGCGACCCTGTTGACTGTTTTGAATGAAACGCTTGATTGTTCGATGATCACGCTTCAGAACCGTTGCTATTTTAAGACTGCTGCATCCCTCTGCAAGGTATCTCACTTTTTTTGACCTTTCTGAGCCTGTCAAGACCTTCTTTTGACCCATTTTGCCAAAGGAAAGGAAGTTGCCTAATAATTATGCACACCTGATATAGGGTGGTGATGTCATTAGACCACACCCCTTCTCATTACAGAGATGCACATCACCTAAATTGCCTAATTGGTAGTAGGCTTTCGAGCCTATACAGCTTGGAGTAAGACAACATGCATGAAGAGGATGATGTGGACAAAATACTCATTTGCCTAATAATGCTGCACTCCCTGTATACGCATATATGTATATATATATATATATATATATATAAATATATATGTATATATGTATACATATGTCTACGCATATGCATATATGTATATATGTATATGCATATATGTATACGTATATATGTATACGTATATGTATATATGTATACGTATATATGTATGTATATGTGTATATATATTTATGTATATGTATGTATATGTGTAAATATATTTATGTATATGTGTGTATATATATTAATATATGTATATGTATGCATATGTGTATATATATATGTATATGTATATGTATATATATATATGTATATGTATATCTGTCCAGAAGCACCTCCCGCTCCTGTATTTTTAATTCCGACACCTACAGTGGGGCAAAAAAGTATTTAGTCAGCCACCGATTGTGCAAGTTCTCCCACTTAAAAGGATGACAGAGGTCAGTAATTTACATCATAGGTACACTTCAACTGTGAGAGACAGAATGTGAAAAAAAAATCCATGAATTCACATGGCAGGATTTTAAAATAATTTATTTGTAAATCAGGGTGGAAAATAAGTATTTGGTCAATAACAAAAATTCAACTCAATACTTTGTAACATAACCTTTGTTGGCAATAACAGAGGTCAAACGATTACTATAGGTCTTTATCAGGTTTGCACACACAGTAGCTGGTATTTTGGCCCATTCCTCCATGCAGATCTTCTCGAGAGCAGTGATGTTTTGGGCCTGTCGCCGAGCAACACGGACTTTCAACTCCCTCCACAGATTTTCTATGGAGTTGAGGTCTGGAGACTGGCTAGGCCACTCCAGGACTTTCAAATGCTTCTTACGGAGCCACTCCTTTGTTGCCCGGGCGGTGTGTTTGGGATCATTGTCGTGTTGGAAGACCCAGCCACGTTTCATCTTCAAAGCTCTCACTGATGGAAGGAGGTTTTGGCTCAGAATCTCACGATACATGGCCCCATTCATTCTGTCCTTAACACGGATCAGTCGTCCTGTCCCCTTAGCAGAAAAACAGCCCCAAAGCATGATGTTCCCACCCCCATGCTTCACAGTAGGTATGGTGTTCTTGGGATGCAACTCAGTATTGTTCTTCCTCCAAACACGACGAGTTGAGTTTATACCAAAAAGTTCTACTTTGGTTTCATCTGACCACATGACATTCTCCCAATCCTCTGCTGTATCATCCATGTGCTCTCTGGCAAACTTCAGACGGGCCTGGACATGCACTGGCTTCAGCAGCGGAACACGTCTGGCACTGCAGGATCTGATTCCCTGCTGTTGTAGTGTGTTACTGATGGTGACCTTTGTTACTGTGGTCCCAGCTCTCTGCAGGTCATTCACCAGGTCCCCCCGTGTGGTTCTGGGATTCTTGCTCACCGTTCTCATTATCATTTTGACCCCATGGGATGAGATCTTGCGTGGAGCCCCAGATCGAGGGAGATTATCAGTGGTCTTGTATGTCTTCCATTTTCTGATAATTGCTCCCACAGTTGATTTTTTTCACACCAGGCTCCTTGCCTGTTGTAGATTCACTCTTCCCAGTCTGGTGCAGATCTACAATTCTTTTCCTGGTGTCCTTCGAAAGCTCTTTGGTCTTGGCCATAGTGGAGTTTGGAGTCTGACTGTTTGAGGCTGTGGACAGGTGTCTTTTATACAGATAATGAGTTCAAACAGGTGCCATTAATACAGGTAACGAGTGGAGGACAGAAAAGCTTCTTAAAGAAGACGTTACAGGTCTGTGAGAGCCAGAGCCACTATCTCCGCTACGCTCCGGCACCAACTCCGCAGCAAAAACGGTCCCTTTGTAGTCTATCAGAGCTGTTTCGCTACTGCGGCCGTGTGGCGCACTGTGCCGCCCGCCGTTCCGCCATCCGGCAAAAATAAGATCGATTCTATTTTTGCCGGACGCCGGAGCACCTCCGCAGTCAATGGACAGAAACCACAACCGCCCAACAGGAAAGGGAGCAAGCACAACTTCCGTTATTTCACAATAAATCGATAAACAAAAAGCGTTTTTTGTTTCATATGCACAGGTTTAACAACTTTTAGTAACTATCAATGGCGTCTGAACTTTAAATGCACAAAAATAAGCCATAAATACAGTTTCCACTATCAAAGTAGTCACCCTTTGTTAATCCAAATACTGCTGATCTCTTAACACAAGTGATGGGCAGATTAAACAGTTCATTTCGATGCTTCTCCCACACAACGGGTGTTTGGATCTAACTTCTGCATTTATTGCTCAGACTCAATCGCAAGATCTCGAAAATCCCGCGCATGCCTGTTTGCGCACCTCAGGTCTCCGCACCGGAGCGAAGCCGTTGTAGAGCGGGTACAGTATAATTTGAGTTTGGAAGCGAGCGGAAAGCGGGGGCGGGGCGGAGATAGTGAAATTTTGGGGTTACTCTCTCCTCCGCCTTTGGAGGAGCAAATGGGGAACAAGATCTCCTGTGACTTCTTTCCAATTTTCCTTCAAGTTGAATTCAACATAATAAAACCAGGAAAGTCTAAGGACTTCTACAAGGTGGAACGGCAGCACATTGTTTTTCTTTCTCTTATTTTCTCTGGTTCACAGAAGCCTACTCTCCTCAAAGCCTCACTGTGTCCCTAAATAAGAGACATGATTAGATCTTGCAGCCACCCACCCCCCACCCCCCAACGCCGGCTTTCCGGACACCACAACGCTTGGTGTGACTGAACCTGAGTTCAGCGCTTCTTATAACACAGAAGAAATAACGCGTACCTAGAGGTGCGTTCTCTAGTTCTCTGGATTTTCACGTGCTGAGCAACCCGACCCAATCAAACGACATAATTCATCGGCCCAAATCTGACTCAGCCTCTCGGGCTTACTCTGTTTGGGTTTGTTCTCAGGTCGTAACTCCCAACGCTCAGCCCTGCATCAGCACATAAAGGCGGACCAATACTTCCTACTTGGTAAATCTGGAGGACACTTCCCACTCTGGCAAATTAGGATGCTACACTGGTGCTGCGGTTTAAAAACAAAACTGCATTCCACTATAATCCATTATGGTGTGCTTCTTCCATGACTCACACTCGTTTATGTCTGCATTTCGATGCATCGATTGTTTGATTATTTTCTTCAGCTCTAATGATAATATCACAAAGTGTCCTAACCCCCGCTGCCAGCTACTGTTAGGCTTGGATAACCACCGTGCTCTCAGAATGGGAACTCCGGATATTTTGGGCTTTTAAGTATCAAACAACCTTTGCAATGAAAGCTTTTTACTTTGATGAAAACGACACGTTTATATTTCTGAAACTTTTTGTTGGCGTTTTTCAACACTGTAGTGATGCAAACTTGGTAAACCCTTTGTGACTGACCGTTTCTATTCAACTATAGCTTTAATTCAGCCTTTGTGACGGATCCAGCCCCTATAGAGCACTGTGAATGACTAGCCAGAACGCTGCTAGTGTTCCAGTGAAGCGTTCCTAGACCAAACCTTGCAAAGCAACAATTAGGTCTAGTTCGCTTGCCTACTTGTCTTCCCTAAAATCCCATTAGATGTTGAATAAATTCAGTTCCCAATGACAAAAACCCTTAAATTAGTGTTTTCTTGCAATGATTACAGTCACTATCACTGACCATTAAGCATAATGAAAATATTTGGTATATTTATTTTTCTTCTACATCTACAGCATCTCAGCTTCTCTTCTGGCACTCGCAGAGTACAGACGCTTCCCTTTTTGCTCCCTTATCTTTTTTCCCAAGGCTCTTTGACCTGTCTGCCCACAGAGCACCTCTCTGCATTTTTTCTGAAAATCCCTATTTTTTAGAAATGGATTTAATTAATTGGTCATTCAACGCGATTGATAAGATTTTTCAACAATGGGAACGGAGCAGGGGGCTCCCACTTGCCCGCAAGGGACACACCCGGCAGGGTATATGCTCGATTCCTGGAAAGAATGGAGGATTGTATGCCTCTCCCAGTTGTCCATTGAGAACGTCGAAGATGTGTGGATGTTTGGCCTGATGATCACTGGATTTCTCCTGATTGGAGTGGGAGGATATCTGGTTTTCTGGAAATTTGGGAAGATGGGAGTGATTGGAGGGCGATCCGCACCCACGGAAAGCACCGTCCGTGTGGAGACCTCACAGACTGGGACGTTACTCGAGGTGAATCGTAAGCTGGACAGCGTTCTAGCTGTGTTACTGGTATTAGTGTGCAAAATGGATGTCATTTCGGAGAGGGTCACCGGACGGTGTGGAGATGTTTAAAACCTGAATTGGCTTCACTGGAGGACTTGAATGATCGGTTACAGACTTCAAGGCAGAGAGGAAAATTATCTCTGCCTGACCCAAACAAAGTCTTGTTATGCGAATATGACACCATGGCAGCCTTGTGAATGCCAACAACAAACCCCCACGATGGAATGCAGACAGATGCTGTGAAAACCCGACCCCCCCCCCCCCCCCCCCCCCCCCGCCTTCGGATTGGTGGACTTCAGCCTGGCGAGGTCATCAACCTGCAGGTGTCAATGTGCTCTGCACTCCTCCCAAGATCTCCCTCCCACCTGTGGCTTCAGTGGATGAGCGCCATACAGGGCTGCTCTCGCTGGGGAAACAGGATCCCAGCCCCCCCCCCCCAGTGGCGCTTGAAATGAGCGCCGTTATGGTTGCTCTCGTGGTCTGCCTGTATCTGTTCTGTCTACATGTGTGTGTGTAACCTTGGTCAGGCTGTGCTGCGGAGTCAAGTTCCTATGCTCTGGGTCGGAGCGCTGGCAATAAAGTTTTTTCTGATTCTGATCTCTGGCTTTTCCAGCAGGTGAGGATGTGTTTTCTTCTCGTTTCAGGATGTAATGCCAAGTTTTCAGCCCGAAGCAGTCTCTACATCCACTCAAGGAAGCACAAACAGGACGGCAGCAGCCCGAGGACTAGGTGCCCTGTTGCCAGTTGTTCCAAGCACTTCTCATCACGCAGCAGCCTGAAGAGTCACATTATCAAATGCCACCACCTGAGTCCTGGTCAGTCACCTCACAACCTAGAAGCCAAAGTTTTCTGTTGTTTGTTAATAATAACAATAATAATAATGGATTATTTTGAGCTTTAACGCATAAAAAACCAAAATCAAGCATGGGCAACCCTGTTGAACTCATTAAGTCACCCAGAGGAAGTGATTGTTTAATTTATTTAAGTAGTGCCAAATCACAACAAGGTACTTCAAAATGTAAACTTTCCAATAGAGGTCAGTTTATTTAGCCAATTAGTAATGTTTCCCATGTAAGGAACACAACAGATTGCTTTGAGTCATTGAAGCGTTTTGTCAATCCTCATACTGAGCAAGCATGTAGCGACAGTGGAGAGGAAAACTCACCCTTAAACAGGAAGCAATCTCAAGAGGATCCTGGATCAGTATACGCAGCCATCTTCCTCAACTTACTGGGGTTGGAGAAGACAGAGCAGACAGACAGGTAAACTAGTAGTAGCACATTCTATGTTAAATTGTATTTTAAGACATAAAAAAATTTGTGTTGGAAATATAAATTAAAAAATGCTTTTCTGACCCTTTTTTGTAAAGGACATGCTTTCTTGTGACAGCACGCGTAATCATTTGGAATCGTAGAATGTCCAAGGAAGATCCCGTCTTTCTCGCCTCTGATTGACTAGATGGGCTCTCCTACGGTTGACTAACCGGCATCTTCCCTTGCTAAGTGCAGACTGTTCTGCAACCAACAGAAAACTGTTTTGGGGAATTTTGTAAAGAAAATGTGAACTTAGCGCGGCGAGAAGAGAGGACCTTCCTTTGACATGCCCAGAGTCCCGTCATGGTCGAAAAATAGTTCCCAAAAAATTTTAACCGACGTCTTTTCTGGCCATGAATTCAATGTCTTTCGGCGCGTTTCATTTGGACATTTATAAATATAAAATTCAGTCTTATTACTGTAAAAATAATCATTAATATCAAAACAAACTCCAAACGACCATTCCAACATGGTCCTCCGCGTTTAGGTCAGGTGTCTATTAGTTGAGCAACCCCTAAGACACATTTTTAACAAAAAATATTTCTATCAACGAAAATGTTGTTGAAACCCAGCAAACATCTGGATGCTTAATAACGGCTAAACAACGTTAGTCCGATAAAAGTTTGATATTTTAAAATACTAACTACTATTGCTATGTTTTCAAAGACAGCTAGTTCCAAAGTGGAAGCTGAAACAACATCTTCTCCGGAAGCGGAGCAGTGCGGGCTAGAGGGAGCCTAAGTCTCCTCCCTTTCTGGTTGGCTCATGGGTCCCTGGAAGAACGAAAAATCGAACGCAAGTTAGCGGGGCTAAACCGCTATTTTGTAATCCGCTTTGCCTTATGCCCCGGATCGCACGTATGTTGTACTGCAGTTCGTTTAGCTGCTGTGCGTCGTCTGTGTCGGCGGAGAAGTTGGGGCCGGGGAGAGGGGTGGGGCCGCGCTCAGCCTGGTGGGTGACCAAGCAAAGCCTGGCGGCCAGTCTGATAAAGCACTGGGGAAGCCACGCACCCCGCATACACACCATCCACAGAAGAAGTGGATGGACATAGCCCGCAGTGTTGCCAACTGTTTTTGACTGAAAATAACTGAAATTCCCCCCAAAAGTCACTAGATGTCGCCAGATGTCGTCACGTGCCAATTTGCATATGATGCAATGACATCATCTGGTTTGCGTGATGACGTCACCATGTCTGC